CCTGTAGCCAAGCATTTTCCCTTGGCAAATACCACTAGAAATGGATCCTGTCTAAGCAAGCAGTTAATCTCCACTCCAGGCTCCACAGTGTCTCAAAAAACAAACAGGCCTGGGAAACTGGTGACAGCCAAACCAAGAAGAAAGCCACGCTGCCTGTGTGAATGGTAGAATGAGAAAGAATAGTGTTGGCACTCTCCTCACGTTACCATCTCAAGAACTGGTACCTGTCTTCTTCGTGCCACTGTTGGACACAGTGGGGCAATCAGCACTACTCTGAAGACAGGGTGGCTCGGTGGCCTGTGAATACTGGTCGAATTCAGTTTGAAAACGCTGCCCAGTTTCCACCCAAGTTGATGGTACCCTGCTACCTCACTGACTCTACCACCCACTGCCAGCAAACTGCCTGCCAAGCTACAGCAACTACCGTAACACACATGGCAACTACCTGACAAAGCATTAGGTCAAAAAAACCCAAATAAAATCCAACCAACAAACAAACCACTACTGCTGCAAAATCAGGCACTCGGAACCAGAGAACCATCAGAATCAGCTCAGTTGCTGGCTCAACAACTGAGAAGAAGACACATAGAAAGAAAGAGTGAGAGAAACCTACGATTTTCCTATTGCAAAGAAAGCATTAGAGTGGCAACAAAAGTGCAGGGTCTGTCCTGACTTTGCTGTAGATCGTGGCAAGATGGGCAAGATGAAATCTTGATGCAAATGCATGCTGAAAGGCCAAGTTAAGTTATCCTAAGCAATCTCTCTTCAGCTGCTTCTCACTTTTGGAGTGCTTAACCCTATGTTTCCAGATATTCGACTCTTTAAGCACAGAGTTACTTAACAAAAGATCAAAAAGAAAATGTATCTCTACTGAATCTCTAATGGGATTCATTCCTGTGTGAATGCACTATTAGAAAAGATGGAGGACTACTGGCTTAAGCTAGAGCAAAGAAACAAGCGTTAATGGCACGCTGTTTGCTCTTCATAAACTAGCCATGCAAGGGGATCAGTCTCATACTTTGGTATTCTGCTCTGTGCCTATGGATCAATGGGTTCCTACTAGAAGGTCACAGAGAAGCTGCAAAACCTTAAGAAAGTGAAGAGATGAACTTTAATCAGCTGTGTTTTCAATATTCCCTTTGAAGACG